GTGCACACCCATCAGCCCAGCACTCTGGAGGCTGGGGCAGGAGGATCCCAAGTTGGAGCCCAACCTGGGCAATTTAGCAACTTAGCTGGAATCTGTCTCAAAATTTAAAAAATTAAAAATAAAAGGACTGCGGATGTAGCTCAGTACAAAGGCCCTCGGTTCAATCCCCAATACTGCAAAAGAGAGAAGGAGGTACCAAAATGTGGGGTTGAAAATACACAAAGTTTGTGAACATTTCTACAGCCCGGAACACACAGTGAGTTTGCTGTCTGACTTCCCAACCAGAGCAGTTGCTCCATGAATGCACCCTGCCCCTGGCCACGAGCTGGGCTGAGCACGGTAGGTTTTAAATAAGCACTTTTTGTTGTGTTGTGTTGGAGACAGAGTCTCACTATGTAGCCCAAGATAGCCTGGAACTCATGGCGATCCTCTTGCCTCAGCCTCCTGAGTGCCTGGTTAACTGAGCACTTTTATACCTCAGTAGCAAGTGGGCTGGTGCATGAGCCCACAACACAGTAAGTTCACTGTTTCTTATCTCCCTTCCACCGGTGAGGAAAATGAGGGACTGAGTCTTGCTGTGAATGATTCTTTTTTTGAGAGAGAGATAATGTCAAATTGCCCAGGCTGGACTTGAACTTGAGATCCTCCTGCCTCAGCCCCCAGAGGCAGGGACAACAGGGGTGTGTTACCACTGTACCCAGCAGGGCTGCCTGCTGAAGCCAGCTTGGGTCACAGGCCTTGGGCACCAACCACTCCTGCAAAGCTGGGGCCCCCAGGTAGTGCAAGGGCCAGCTCACCGGTGACAGCGATGCAGGAGTCGATGGCGGCATTTCGGCAGGCGCGGATGATGACCACGTAGTTGGTCTTGGCCAGCTTGCCCTCGACCAGCAGGCGGAACATTTCGGCCAGGCCCTCAGCCAGCGAGTAGGTGCACTCAATGACGTGGACGCTGTCGTTGCAGGAGCTGGCAGCCAGGCCGGCCAGCCAGGGCAGCTGCGCCGAGGTCACAGGTGCCACAGGGCCGGGCATGGGTGGGCAGGACTGCAGGGGCACCGGCGGGCACTGCCGGACCTCAGCCAGGTGCGACTCGCGCCAGGAGCGCAGCAGGATCTGCTCCAGGTCCTCCATCAGCGGCACCTGGTCGGCCGCTGCAAGGCAGGGGATGGGGGTCAGCGCGGGACTCGGGCGCCACAGGTCATTACTTGGTGTT